CTGGGCCAGCTCCTGCTCCTTCCTGCTGTGTGTGTGAGGCAGGAGGGGACACCTGATCCAGGCCAGGCGCTGCCAAGGCCACGTGCCACCCTCTGCCACCCCAAGTGCCAGCCCTGCGCTCTAGGGGTGACATCAGGGACTCCACAATCCTGGGAACTGGCCCAGAGGGCCCCTTGGAGGTCACACAGCAAAACCCTGGCTCAGCAGCTCCACCTTTCCATCTCCTCCAGCTCAGACACTGCCTGAGCAGGGATTTCCTCAAGCTGCCAGTGATCACTTTACCAGAACAGAATTAAAGAAGAAAGAAATCATAATTTAAAAAATTCTTAACTGTACTGGTGCAGGTTTTGTGGCTACAACCCTGTGGATGTGTGGGGCCAAAAGAGCAGCTGATGGCAGTGCCTTGTCCTGCCCCAGCTCCCCCAGCCCCCCCAGCCCAGGGGTCACTCACCTCGAAGGTGGCCCTGGGACAGGGCTTCAGGGGCAGGTTGGAGCCGATCATCCTGACCACGCTGCGAGCCGAGCCATGGGGCTTGTTCTGCCAGATGGGGATGGTCTGCAAGGAGCCACAGCACACGTTAATAGCTCCACTCTGTGCTCTTCTTACACTCATTCATCTGGAAATTCTCCTCAACTGTCAGGAGTCTGATGTCTGACTCTTTATCTCTTCACTTGTAATCTGTGATAACTGAAGTCCCCATTTCACCAACTGTGTTCAGCTGAGCACAGCTGACAGCCAGAGAGGTGCAGGGGCATTTTGGACATGGGTGCAGTGTCCTCAGGACTGAAAACTGGAAGCACTCAGTAACAGGCACTGTCAACAGGCATTTTCACAAAGGAAAACTTGGCATAAGGAGGAAAACAGCAACACACAAGGGCCCAGGAGGAAAATGACATCAAAAGAGAGTGTCACTCATGGGACACTCCTGCTTTCACACCACCTTTAGCAGAAGCACTGTTAAATACCCCAGGGCAGCTGTGAGTCTCCTTCCCTGCACGAGCTGCTGAGGAACCTGCTCCAGGAGACCCTGCCTGAGCAGGGCTGGACCAGGTGACCTCCAGAGGTCCCTTCCCACCTGAGCTGGGATGAGCTGAACGTTTCTGGGTGACAAGTGACAAGTCCACCCAGTGCCTGTCCCAGCCCAGGGCCACGGGGAGCAGCCCTGGGGAGTGCTCTGAGAAACAGCAGCTGCTTTAGAGCTCCCAGGACACTTCTGAGCTGGACCCAAAAGGTGAAGTGCTCTGCCCGTGACAGGAACAGCACAAGGCTCTGCACAGAGAACACCACAATGACAAAGCTCAGCCCACAGCACACCCGATAATTGATTTATTGCTGCAGCTCGTTCTGTGCTGTCCCTGACACACCTGAAATTCCAGAGGAGCCCTTCAGACCCAGCCTCTGCGATGGGCAAGGGGAGGACAGATCTGGGCTGGGGCAGTGCCTGGGAGCTGCTGCTGGGGAAAGGTGCTGGAGGAAGGCTCTGAGACAGGTACCTGGGGCTGGGACAGGTACCTGGGACAGGTACCCGGGGCTGGGACAGGTACAAGGCACAGGTACCCGGGGCTGGGACAGGTACAAGGGACAGGTACCCGGGGCTGGGACAGGTACCCGGGACAGGTACCTGGGGCTGGGACAGGTACCCGGGACAGGTACCTGGAGCTGGGACAGGTACCCGGGGCTGGGACAGGTACAAGGGACAGGTACCCAGGGCTGGGACAGGTACCCGGGGCTGGGACAGGTACCCGGGACAGGTACCCGGGGCTGGGACAGGTACCCGAGACAGGTACCCGGGGCTGGGACAGGTACCCGGGACAGGTACCCGGGGCTGGGACAGGTACCCGAGACAGGTACCCGGGGCTGGGACAGGTACCCGGGACAGGTACCCGGGGCTGGGACAGGTACCCGGGGCTGGGACAGGTACCCGGGGCTGGGACAGGTACCCGGGACAGGTACCCGGGGCTGGGACAGGTACCCGGGACAGGTGCTTGGCGCTGGCACAGGTGCCCGGGGCCGCTCTAGGAGCAGGTGCCGGGGCAGTGTCCGGGTGTCCGGGGCAGTGTCCCGGTGTCCCGGCCCGTGTCACTTACGGCCTCCGCGTCCATCTCCGCTGGCTCAGCGCCGGCCGCTCATCGCACCCGCTCCGCTCGCTCACTGCAACACACAAGAAGCGCTGCGGCACGGCCCGGCCCGGTCCGGCACGGCACGGCACGGCACGGCACGGCACGGCACGGCACGGCCCCGGTACCTGCGGGCCGGCGGCGCCGCTCCGGGGCCGCTCCGCCGCCACGGCCCGGAACAGAACCGGGGCCCGCCCCGCGCCTTCCGGGGCCGCGGCGCCTGCGCCGGGCCGGGACAGACCGGGGACAGCCCGGGACAGCCCGGGACAGCCCGGGAACAGCCCGGGGCCAGGGGACAGTCCCAGGACAGCCCCGGGACAGGGACAGCCCAGGGACAGACCGGGGACAGGGGACAGTCCCAGGGACAGCCCCGGGACAGGGACAGCCCGGGGACAGGGACAGCCCAGGGACAGCCCGGGGACAGCCCGGGGGACAGGGGACAGTGGAGACACCCTGGCGCACGGGGAACATCCAGGGACACCCCCGTGCAAAGACAACATTGGGGCCACCCCGGTGTAAAGGGACATTTGGGACACCTCAGTGCCAAGGGACACTGTAAAGGGACACCCCGGTGCCAAGAGGGACACTGGGGCCACCCCGGTGTAAAGGGCCATTGGGGACACCCCTGTGCCAAGGGACACTGTAAAGGGACACCCCGGTGTAAAAGGACACTGGGGCCACCCCGGTGTAAAGGGACATTTGGGACACCCTGGTGCCAAGGGACACTATAAAGGGACACCCCGGAGTAAAGAGGGACATTGGGGCCACCCCGGTGTAAAGGGACACTGGGGCCACCCCGGTGTAAAGGGACATTGGGGCCACCCCGGTGTAAAGGGACACTGGGGCCACCCCGGTGTAAAGGGACACTGGGGCCACCCCGGTGTTAAAGGACATTTGGGACACCCCGGTGCCAAGGGACACTGTAAAGGGACACCCCGGAGTAAAGAGGGACACTGGGGCCACCCCGGTGTAAAGGGACATTGGGGACACCCCGGTGTAAGGGACACTGTAAAGGGACACCCCTGAGTAAAGAGGGACATTGAGGCCACCCCGGTGTAAAGGGACACCCCGGTGCCAAGGGACACTGTGAAGGGACACCCCGGTGCCAAGGGACATTGGGGCCACCCCGGTGTAAGGGACATTGGGGCCACCCCGGTGTAAGGGACACCCCGGTGCCAAGGGACATTGGGGACACCCCGGTGCCAAGGGACACTGTGAAGGGACACCCCGGTGCCAAGGGACATTGGGGCCACCCCGGTGCGGGGCAGCGCGCCCGGCTCGCCCCTCGCCCACCCGCACCCCGGCGGAGGAAGGAGAGCGGAGCCGGGCTGAGGCTGCACGGATGTTTTTACCGGGGCCGCTCCGCCGCCCCTCCCGGCCGACATCGGCCCGGGCCCGCCGCGCTTTGGGGCCGGGGCGTCACCAGGCGCGGCAGGGGCGGCGGCGGGACCCGCTCCCGGGACAGAACGGAGCGAACGGGCGGGCACAGCGCTGCCACCGACCCGCGGACACCCGGGCACCCTGACAAAGGGACACGGGTGTCCCCTCGGGATCCCCCAGGCTGCTCGGCTTGGGGGTGGCTTTGGGGCTCCCTCGGCTTGGGGGTGGCTTTGGGGTGGCTTTGGGGCTCCCTCGGCCACTGTCCAGGATGCTGAGAATAAACAGCGGCTCTGTGGGGTTGCAAAGGCTGCAGCCCTGCAGGGATGGAGGTACCCGAAGGGGTGACAGAACTCTGCAGTGCTGCCCCGAGGCACAGCCAGACCCAGCTTGTCCCGCTGGGCTGTGAGAAAGTGCAGAGCTGATGCATAGTTACAAAGCCAACACTGAGAAACGTCCCGGGGCCATTAATTAATCTCACTAGAGCAATTAGTGAAGTGACAGCCCAGAGGTGCAGCTAAGCTCAGTGCCCAGGCCATGGACAGGAAGGCTGGGGCACGGTGGGGACAGGGTAACTGCCACCCCCAGGCTCCTCCCAGCACCTGGAGCCCAGCAATGAAAATACCTCGTCAGAAGGGAAAAAAAAAAAAAAAAAAAAAAAAAAAAAAAAAAAAAAAAAAGGCTTTTCCCTTAACTTGATTTGGTCCAACAAAATTGTGCTTCAGAGAGCAGAAAAAGCATCACCAGCCAGGGCTGGCTGCAGGCAGCTACTGAGGATGCTTTGTCCCCTCACGTGTCTGTAGGAATATGCCTTAAAACCCGTTCCACTCAACCTTTCCTTCTCCAAATTACAAAATGATGCTCATTCTGTATCCAGGCATTGGCACAGAGTGGGAGCAACTGCTCAGGGTGGCTTCAGGAAAGGGATAATGGCTTCATGTCTGAACAATCTCTTTGGAAAAAATTCCTGAAAATACCTGTTTCTACTTCTGGCTTTCAGAACTGCCCAGTCCTCACCCAGGTGAGGCTCTCAGGGCAGTTCCCAGAGGGAACTTCATGGTTCCTCACCCAGCACAACCTGGAAGCTCAAAGCAAACAGGGACAGAGCAGCAGCTCCAAGGGGGCACTGGGAGAAGCTCCCAGAGCTGCTGGGGAGGGAGCCCTGGGAGGGACGGATGGGTGGGACACTGCTCACTGCTGTGTCCTCCAGCCTGGGGTCACTGGGGAGCTCCTGGGGGCTGCAAACTCATCCTCACCTCACCCCGTGCCACCCTCGGGGCACAGACCCTGCCCAAGTGAGGCCACCAGGTGACACAGGGCGCTGGGGGCTGCTCAGGAATGTCACACACGGCTGCCACCGCCCTGTCACACAGATTGTCACTGTCAGGCAGTGTCCAGAGCTGCCCCAGGACAGCAGGCTGGCCCCGAGGGCAGCAGGGCTCTGTCCTCACCACGAGTGTTCGGTCACAACGGCAGTGCTGCTCCCTGCACTCAGCAAGTCCTGGAGATCAGCAGGCCTGGGGTTACACCAGTCCCACCAGGCTGGAAGGAGCTGCAGAGAAACCAGGCTGGGTGGCACAGCCAGGCAGGTGCACTGGGAATGGGTTCAAGCACTTGCACTGCTGTAGAAATGTGCCTGAACTGAGAAGGGCAGGCTGTGTAAACCACAGCTCAGGCTCAAACCAAGGTCCAGAGCACAGCCCTGGCCTGGGACTGCCTGCAGCTCAACACCAATGTCTGGCACGGAGATGAGGAGGCTTTGCTGTAACCAAAATAGATCTCTGAAGTCTTTGGCCATCTCAGTGGGGCATTCAGGTGCCTGTTTTTAGGGCTGCAGGTATGGTTTTGCTCTGTGCAGCCCTTCCTTCAGGAACTGGAGGTAAGTTGCAGTTGAAGGGTCTTCAAAATTGGTTGAGAAACTAAAGATGCTGCTTTCAACATCTTCAGGCTTCATAGAAGTAATGTCCAGGAAATAGTTGGCATTGATGTGGTGAATCTGGCAAAGAAAACAGATGAGAGGAGACTTCTAAGGGTCAGAACAATTCCCTATCCACCACCTTGGCCTGCAGCCAGGACAGAGCTCTAACAGCTCCTACAGAATATCCAGTTCTTTCCAAGTGCTAATTCAGGAACCAGAATTCGGGTCTGAGTTTCACAGTCACAAAAGGATGTGTGATCTTCCCCCAAAGGTGCTGACCCTTCGCTTAGATTAAGAAGAAAATGAAGGTGTTTTGGGAAAAATCATGGAGGCTCAGCTCATGTGCATGAGCAGGAGCTGGGGAGATGGAGCCTGGGGTGCACCTGAGCTTCCAACACTTCCTGCTGCCCCAGAGATGGCAAAGGGGGACACTGACCCATTGTCACTCATGGGGACAGTGAGGGGACCCTGCAGGTGTGACCAGCTGTCAGGAACTGCTCCCCAAATCCAGGGGGAAGGGCAGTGGGAGCTGCTGGGAGCACAGCAGAGGCAGAGCTGGTTAACAGTTGATCTGCTGTCACCCATCTGGGGAGATAAATGTGCTGGAAGGTGCTGATCAGGAGATTTTCTTCAAAGAATGAGCACAAAGGGCCATGGGTGCAGGAAACAAAGCTACAGTGGCTTCCCAAACCCCAGGGACAGTGAGGAGTCACACTTGGTTCAATCTGTTCTGGCCCTGCCCAGAACTGCTGCTCTTCTGTCTCTGAACTAAAACACATTTGTTCCAGATTTCTAGGCGGAGGGACAAAGGCTCAAGGGCAGTCCCAGGTCTGGGAGACCCTGCAGAAAACAGATTCCATGGGAAGAGCCCAGCCTCACCACCGTGCCGTTGGGGAGGCAGATGATCATCTCCACAGGGAAGTTGTATTTCTCCAGGTGCAGCTTGGCCAGTTTGCTGTAGAACTCGTTCTCTCTGTTGCTCTGCAGGGAGATACCAAAAACACACATTGGCACACCCCAGAAGTGGCAGAATGGCACAGGGGGAGCACACAGGACACAGCAGAGAGCAAGGGAGGGAGCAGAGAGCTGCTTTGCAGTGCAATGGTAACTGGCACCATTCTCACAGGCTGCTTTCCCATTCCCTTTCAGGCTCTCTCTTTCTCATTTCAGCTGCAGATTTTGTCCCCAGACAAGAAAATCACCCCATCACAGGCACACCAACAGTCTGATCCCAGCCCAGTGACTGATCCCAGCTGACAGCACAGGCTCAGAGGTGGGGAAAGGCTCAATCAGGAGCCTCAGGGCTCAGACAGTTATTTGGCTGTCCCCTGGGTTGCAGGGCAGTCAGGTGGTTGATGGCATCTGTCTCACAGAGAAGCATCTGGTTTAGTTTTAAACCTGGCACCAGGACAGAGCCAAGGGGGTCACAGTGCCACCTCTCAGCCTGCCTCCCTCTGGTGTCTGCCTGGCCCCTGCAGTGGCCGAGGACAGGGAGGGCTTGGAACAAAAATCCCCCCTGGCACAGGAGGGAGCTCCCCCTGCCCCTGGCACCCCGTGGCACCCCAGCAGAGTGTGAGCCTCACCTGCAGCTCCTCCAGCTCCTTCACCAGGGACCAGCTGCTGATGAAGCTCTCGTTCAGCAGGGCGAGGATGGGCGAACTTTCCAGGACGGTCTCCCGGAGAGTTCGCCCCGAACCTGGCACAGGAAGAGGCGCAGGAGGCTTTGCTGTTGTTTCCTCAGGTCACTGTCACCACGATGCCACCTGCTGAGTGGCAGCTGACTCTGGCTCCCCCCAGCCCTCCCCAGTGTCTTTTTGCTCTGCTGTTGGCAGTTTTCCATGGCTTTTGCTCCCCACAGGTGCTGCTGGCACAGAGGACTCAGCAGAGCAGGGCCCAAGCCAGGCACAGAAGGCCCAGCAGAACTGAGCCATGGAAGCCACCCCCAGTGCCACTTGCTGTTCATGCCAAGCACAGCCCAGTGCTGTGGGTTTTTCAGGGCAGGCAGCACTGAAGAGACCCTTCCCCTCCCACCCATCCCTCCTGCCCAGCGTGGCACAGAAGCTCTCAGGCATTGAGGGGGAAGAGCTGCACATCGGGACAGCCCCAGGGCCAGGCCTGGCTCTGGCCTCTCCTGTGCAGGGGCCAGGGACAAGGCAGACAGAGCAGTGTCCCTTTTCCTGCCAGTGCTGCCTCCTCCCCAGCAGGAAAGAGGAAGGGGAAAGACCAGAGCCATGTCTCCACCTCAAGAAAGGCACCTGACGCACAACCTGTCTCAGACAGAGCTGGCAGCAGAGCTCACATCACAAATTCCCACTCCCAGCTCTCATCAGTAATTCCCACTCCCAGCCTTTGTCTATTCAGCACCTCCAGAGCCAAAACAAGTGGCACAAGGTTTCCTGCTGGCTCCTGGCCAGCTCCTTGACCCCCATCCCTCCTGCCAGGCTGGGAATGTCCTCACCTCAGCAGGACTGATCATCCAGGGCACCCCACAGCAGGATGGAGTGCACCAGCTTCTTCTCTGCTTGCGCTCTCTCAAAGGCTTCTGTGAAGGGCAGGTAGGAGATCTGGGGGCAGAGGGACAGCGTGAGGAACAGGCACACAGCAGCCCAGCTCCACCAGGAGTGGCTCTGAAGGAACCAGGCCCAGGGGTGACACACACAGAGCTCAGGCTGCAGCAAGACCTGCAGATTTGAGTGAGTGACATCTGTGGTGGTGTCCCCAGGGACAACCTTACCTCCTGGGGAGGCTGTGGTCCCCCTGTCCCTGGCACCTGCAGAGCCCTGACCTTACACACTGCAGAGAACATCTGCACCAGGGTGGCCAGGCTGTCTGCAACCCCACCTCAGCTGCTGGGAAATCTGGCCTTGAGATATTTAGTACAAAAGCCCCTGAAACAGCCTGAGAACTGGCTGTGAGGGAGCTGCACAGAGCCTGCTCCAATCATCCAAATGAAAGGAACTGATATTAACATCTTGGCAGCCTGAAGGGACATTTGTAAGCTCGGGCACAAGGAGGCAGCCAGCGAAACGTGTCCCTTCAGCCAAGGAAGCAGTGACAGGCAGTAGCCATCTGCTCCACAGGCTGCTGGCATGTTAAATAGCTCGGGTCACCCAGAGCTATAAATTTGTGTCTGGCTGCAGGCTGCAGAGGCACAGGCACATCATGTGTTCTCTGCTGATAAGGAAAGCTTGGTCCAGAGGCACCTGGCTGCTGTGGAAGTAAAGCCAGAGGAAAAACCATTTGTAAGCAGCACAATTACCTGTCTGCTCCAAAATCACAGCAGCAGCCACTGATAAGAGGCAGGAAGGATGAGCCTACACCCACAGCACAGTGCTGGGGACACCTGACATGGAGGCTTTGCTCCAGTCTGTGCTGCTGTGTGACCCCAAACGCCCTGGGACACCCTCCCAGTGCCCTGGATGCTGCTCAGGCTGTGGCCTCTGCTGGCCCTCCAGGTCACTGGATGGCTCGGTGAGGACAATCTGCCCCAAATCAACGTGCCAAGGAGAGCCCAGCCCCTTCCTCACCTTCTTAAATGGATACATGGCCACTTCCAGCCTGTGGGCTGCCTCCTGCCAGGGGATCTCCTGCTGCCAGGTGATCTCCTCGAACACAAACTGGATGGGCTCCCCTGAGGGGTCCCTGCTGTCCAGGACGTTCCCGTTCTCGTCGTGGATCACGGTGGGGACCGAAGGCCCTGTGGATTCCAGCTCCATCTGCAGGGGAACAGGCTGCTGGGACCCTGCACACAGCCCTCTCCTGGTTCTGCTGGGCTCCAGGAGAATACAGATACAGCAGAATTTGGATACAGATCCAAAACAACACCGTGCAGCTCCTCAGGAAGGTACAGCTTGATCTCCCATCTCCTAGAGCTGCACTTTACCAGTGAAATGCCAGGAGAGGAACTTCATTTCCCTCAGTGTGGCTGCACTCTCTGGATTGGAAATGCAGAGACTCCACGTTCCTACCTTCCCAGTGGAGATTACTGACTGTGAGACACCAGATCCTTTCAATCTTTAGGATCTGCAGGGCTCACTGGAAGCTCTTGCTCCCGTCACCAGCTCAGCCCTGGGAAGCCACGAGAGGGAGCAGCAGGAAAAGCTGCCCAGGAGCTTCCCTGTGGTTTGTGCTCTCCTACAGCTGAAATGATTCTGCTAAATCTGCTCTCCTGACTTTTGCTGATTAAAAATAAACACGACCCTAGTTTAGGAGAACATTGGCCTGTTGAATTCAGGCATTCAGAATTCTGCTTTATGTTTCCTGTCCCAAGAGCTGGGATTACTACAAAAAAGGGGAACAACCTCGTGCACTTTCTAAATCCAGACCCACAGTTATTCATACCCTGCTCTGGGCTCAGGGCCTGGGTTCAGCTCCTCATCTTCCCTCCTGCCTGTCAGGCAATGTTTTAAAAAAGGAAAAAGTCTCCAAAAGCTTAGGATTCAACCCACACTGAGGGAAAAAGGAAAATATCAGAAGAGCTGCCAACGGGGCTGCAGAGGACAGACAGAGATGAATGGAAATTCTACTGTTGTACTGAAATGATCATGAGCCAGCTCTGAGGAATGGAGTCACAGAGGTTCCACAGCTCAGTGGCAGCACAAAAACCCCTGAGGAGAAGCTGCACACGTGTGGAGCACTGGGAGAGAGCACAGACCTGAGGCAGGTATCCAATGTCCACTTCCATGTTGCTGCTCTCGCTTGCCCCGTACAGCCACTCCATGTCCACGTTCAGGGACCTGCACGGGGAACCCACGAGTCACTTAGGGCTAAAGCTGAGCATGGGAAACCTCAAACAAACAGCAACATCCTCTTGCAGGGTCAGCACTGGACCCAGAGCCTCTGGAGATCCCTGCAGCAGCCCAGGAACACCAGATCCCTGCTGGAGCAGGGCCCAGGCACCCACTCAGCACTCTGGAAAACACACTCAACACCTCTGAGCTCTGTCAAATGACAGGAGAGAGAGATGTCTTTGCTCCCTCTTCCTTCCCAGCATTTCACTCGCACATTCTGATCCTGCTGAACTTTTAAAAGTGTTTTTTTGGAAGCAAAAGGCTGCTGGCAGAGCCCAAAGTGTCAGCTGGCTGTAAGAAATGTGCTGACAGAGCCACTGGGGTTGAGTCGCCGGGGTAACGTTGTAATAGAATTTTCACTCTTGTCATGGGCAAAGAGATTTGAAGCTTCTTCCCCCTGAAACACTTCCAGCTCTGCCAGAGAGCAGGAACGAGCTGGTGCAAAGCTCTGCACACAAAACCTTAACCTGTGAGACTTCAAGCAAAAAAATCTGTTGGAAGAGGAGGAGCACCAGGCCTTGCTGAACTTCAGTGCTTGCAGCCAGGCACTGGGACTGCCAGTCCTGCCACACCCTGCCTGTCCCTCCCATCCTCCCAGTACCAAGGGACAGTTACTGGGGTGTGAATCAGGCCCTGGATGCATTCAGGGATCCTCAGGGATGTAGAAATGCATTTACAGGCAACTGCAGGGCTCAAATCCCTGACATTTTCCAAGAAATGAGACGGAAACAACTGTACCTGTTGTTAGGAACAAAGAGCCTGAAGTCCCTGATGTGGGAAGAGTCCTTGGACAGGACAATGTAACCTGTGAACTGCCCCGGGGAAAACCAGAAGGGGAAGTTTGGTGGCTCGTTCAGCTGGAATTCAGCGTGGATCCTGAAAGGAGAGAGGAGCCATCAGCAGAGATCCTGCACTGCAGGTGACAGCAGGGAGAGGCTGTGTCCAGCACCCAGAATTATGAACCTAAACTGGGCAAGAGTGGTGGAGCTTAAAAAGCTTTTCATGTCACACAACGAAGAGGGTGAGAGCCTGGAAGAGGTGCCCTGGGTGAGGAGCATCTCCAGTATCCATGCCTTCTGGCACTGGGCAGCCAGGAAGGATGAAATTGGGCAGCCAGGAAGGATGAAATTGGGCAGCCAGGAAGGATGAAATACTTTATCATTCCTTGAAACACAGGGGCAGAACAAGACCACTTTAGCCCCCCATCCAACTAGATCAGACACATCAAAGCTGTGTGTAACACTGCCAGTAAAACAATTCTGTGGACTCTACCCTTGGAAAGACACCCTGATAAACCTAAATCTAACAAAATTCTCGCTAGCCAGATTCTCCAGGGGTAGTCCAGGGGTGATGCCCTGCACGAGGACACAGTGACACCGGCAGCACAGGTGACCTTTAGCTTGCACCACCCTCCTCCCCTCCCAGCCACAGCACCCCGGTGTCCCTGGGGAACACGCTGCAGGTGCTGTGGCTGCTGTGCTCTCTGCCAGGGGCTGCAGCAGCCCCCTGCCCCGCCTGGGCCAGGGGACAGGGGACAGGCTCGGGGGTGTCCCCCAGCCCCCGGGGCTCACCGGAACGCTATGGTGTAGTAGAAGCTGCTGCTGGCCTGGATGCAGGCCACGGCTCCTTGCGGGGCAAAGCGCGTCCTGACGAAGGGCCGCGGGTGGAACATGCTCAGCAGCTTGTGGATGATCACCTGCAGAGGGGAATGGATGAGCAACAAGGGGAACTGTTCCTCCACACGGCTCCAAAGCAGCCCCCACCTGAGCAGCAAGGCCAGAGAGTGGCTGTGATTGAGCACCCAGCTCAGGGACCGACCTAATCACACACCAAGGAGACAAAGCAAGGCTCTGCTGTCACAAATAAATCCATCTTCCACGGCTTCTGTGCCATTCCCACGGTCTGCAGCTCTCCATCAGCCCAGGCAGAACAGCAAACTGATCTGCAAGGCTGCCTCCATCAATGCTTCAGCCCTTGAAGGGGTGGGAGAGCAACCACTGATCCCACCAGCACCTGCCTGCACCCAGGGGAGGGGATGCACAGCCAGGCTTTACCTGTGGGCACACACAGAGTCCCACTTGGCACCTAAAGGCTCACATCCCACCAGGAATGAGCACAGGCCCTTTATGAATAAGCCCCTCTGGGGAAAACTATCCTCAAATCCCACACAATGAACAAACAGGATGAAGTTGCTCGAGCCAGCCTCATCTGGCTGTCACAGACACACAGAGCTTTTGCCTGCTCTCAGTTTTGCCTCCAGTTTAGGTGCTCCTGGCTATACACTACAGAATTCCTGCTTCCTTAGAAAATCCAGGGATGCACATAGAAAACCTGAGTTTCCTATCTCACCTCTTTGCCCTTGGGAGGTGGAGGGTAAAACCTGTTGTTGGAGAGATAGCCAGTGAAGATGTTCAGTTCACTGGGAATTATCCACCATGGATCCCCCAGATCCAGATTATCCTTTGGAGGGAGAAAGGCTTTAAACTGCCTGGCAAGCAGGACACTCATGGGGGCTGCTGGGGCCGTCCAGTTCCTGAGCCCAGACAGAGCCACGTGAGAAATCTGTGAACAAAAGATGCTGTCAGAGCCCACAGTGGAGCCTCCCAATGTGCAGTGATGTCATGGATGCAGGGAGGCTTTGGAAAAGCGGAAAAAGACTTGTATCACATCCCAAATTCTTCTTACCCCACCAAACAGTTCTGCCAGCCTTCAAGAATGTGAGTAACAGAGCAGAGGGGAACGTGCCACATAACTAACACCAGTGCTGCTGCACTCAGCTGAGGCAGAGCCAGCTCTAGTTCCTGCTCCCAGCTCCCCAGGAAGGGTGTTCTAACTGGGGCGGGCTGCTGCTGAGTGTGCTGAAACCCTGAAAAGCTGAGAGGGGCAGTGGGGTCCCTGTCACAGCAAATCCCACGGGATTCAGCAGGAGCCTGCCCCCTCCCAGCGTATTCCTGGTGCTGTTCCCAGCCCACCAGCCGTGTTTATCCCAGAATCTGTGGCCTCCAGGACACCTACTCCCAAGAAACCATCCTTGCTCTTCGTCATTGTTTCCATGAGCAAGGGCTGGAATTTGGCCACAATGGACAAAGTCTCCCCGTCTGGATCCGGCGTCTCCTCCTCCTCGGATTCTGAGACTGCAGGAACCCCTAGACAAGAGGACAGGAATTCAAGCAGCTGTTTCCCCTCCCTCCCCTTTTAAGCAATTGTGAAATGATTACACATTTCTCCTGGCAAATCCAGGAGCACTGTGAGTTTCCCAGCTGTCCCCACACAGCAGAACTCAGACCCATCCCCAGACCAGCTTTGGCTGCTTGAACTGAAGAGGAATGGACCAGCTCAATGGCTTTAAAGTGGGAGAGTGTGGGTGATGTCTGGTGCTCAAGCCTTTTCAACAACATGGAAAGCTTCCCAGCCTCTCTTCATGTAAGTAAGACCCAAAGCAGCACCCAGAAAACAATAAAGTGAATAAACTCTTCAGTGGACCCGAGCTGTGGGGCTCATTATGTCTGGCTCTGTGCAGGGAGGGCTCTGGAAGGCAGACAGGAACCCACCTGTCAGCTTCTCAGCGATGGGTTTGAACTCCTCTGGGCTCAGGTACAGGTCCTTGTTGGTGTCCAGCGAGGAGAAGAGGAACAGCCCCTCATTCCCCAAGGACTTCAGAGCCAGCTCCTGGTTTGGGAAGAAGAGGAGAGAGAGATTTCATTGGAACCTCCTGCAGAAGTCCACTCTGGAGTTAATCCCACTTTTCCCAGCACATCCAGAGGAAAGATTAAGGCCCCTTGGCAGGATCTGGTGCTATTTGCAATGTGTCCAGGAACTGCTGGCACGAGGCTATTGAACCTGCATCTGCCTGAGTAATTCCAACTGAGCCATTTGCTCACGTTCAGTGTCTTTTGTCAGAAAACTTCCCCGCTTTTTCCAGCTTGTTAGTCCTAAACCTGCAGCTATTTGGAGCACTGGAGGTGGTGATTACTGGGATAAGCTGATGTGCAGTCAAACAAAAGTAGTCAAATATGTCAGTAGCACATTCCAAAAGCACAGAGGGAGTGAGCTGAGCCCTTGGAATTAGAAACTTCCATTCGTGGTGGGATCCACTCCAGTGGTGGGAGCCACTCCCCTGCCCTGCCCTGGTCAGTGCCCCTCCAAATCTCCAGCCTCAGAACTGCACGGATTATTTTGTCTCCCTGCTCCCTCAGCCATCCATCAGGGAGTCACAGAACCCACAGCCTTCTCCAGAAACTTCCACAGGATCCCTGCTTCTCTGTGCCTCAGCTTCTCCCTCTCCCACAGGGCTCCCCAAGGTGATATTTCCCTTGGAGCAGCCCCAGAAGGGCTCTGGGTGCTTCCAGACACTTTCACTCCACAGTCTGAAGTGAAAGGGACAACTTGGAGGCAGAGCAAGAGCTCCAGCTTGGCGTGAGAGGAGGGAGAGACAGAGCAGGTGAGACAAAGCCCTCGGTGCCAGCCAGCCCTTGGCACATGCCCCGGGATCCACCAGCTTGCCCTGCCAGCCCCGGAAAAGCCTGGAGCTGGGAGCACAAGCACTCTGCATTCTGCTGTTCGCCTGTGCCTGCTCTCCACTGCCTGCAGCACCACCACCATCCCCAGAGCTCCTGAACCAGTTTATTTTCCATCTGTTGCCTGCCAGCCTGAAGCAGCACTAATGCAGCCTGGAAGGCTTTGCTCCCATCAACTGCAGCTACAAAAGCACTTAAGAGCCTTCCAGGGCAGTTCCAGGGCTGAGACCGAAATAAACTGGAACTCCAACGAAGATTTGGACGAGGACATGGCCAAGGACATGAAAAAATGAAGGGAGATGTTTTTTTGTACACAATGCACTGGGGACTGACCACAGTTAACCTGCTTTTATTGCCTGAATGAATGGGGATGAGCATCCTGGGCTCTGCAAACAGGTAACACTTCTGCTGAGCATCTGGCTGCAGTTGCTGACATCTCAGTGAACCTTGGAGGCTGTGGCAGAGGAGCTGTGAGATGGGAGAACCCAGGGGCTGGACCCAGGGGCCAGCTGGTCACTGCTGGTCACTGGTGGCCACCACAGCTTTGCAGAGCCTTAGCCTGGTAGTGGCCACCTCAAGGCCATGTCCACTGGAGTGTGGTACCACAGCTCAGCGGTCACCTCAGCCCAGTGACCACCGTAACCCCCCCGATGCCTGGTGGCCACTTCAGCCTGGTCACAGCCACCTCAGCCCCATTAGCCACAATGCCTGTACTCCTCTTATCCAGCGGTGGCCACCCCAACCGCCCTGGCAATGGACGCCTGGTGGCCATCTCACCCTGGCTACGGCCACTTCAGCCCCCATCGATGCTGGGTGGCCACTTCAGCCCAGCTAAAGCTCCCTCATCCCTGGTGCTCACCGGTTCCCGGTGGCCCCTCAGCCCTGGTGCCCCCTCAGCCCGGCTAAGGCTCCCTCAATCCCCGGTGCCCACCGGTTCCTGGTGGTCCCTCAGCCCGGCTAAGGCTCCCTCAATCCCCGGTGCCCACCGGTTCCTGGTGGTCCCTCAGCCCGGCAAAAGTTCCCTCAGTCCCGGTGCCCCCTCAGCCCAGCTAAAGCTCCTTCATCCCCGGTGCCCACCGGTTCCCGCTGCCCCCTCAGTCCCGGTGCCCCCTCAGCCCACCTAAAGCACCCTCAGCCCAGCTAAAGCTCCCTCATCCCCGGTGCCCACCGGTTCCCGGTGCCCCCTCAGCCCACCTAAGGCTCCCTCAGCCCAGCTAAAGCTCCCTCATCCCCGTTACCCACCGGTTCCCGGTGCCCCCTCAGCCCACCCAAGGCTCCCTCATCCCCTGCTCGCCCGGCGCCGCCACCTCCCCTCACGCAGCCCGCGCCCGCCATTCCCCCTCCCTCCGCCCGTCCCGCGGGCCCGTCCCCGCCCCAGCCCGGTACCCGGTACCCTGTTCCCGGTTCCCGGTACCTGCTGCCGCGCCGCCTCCGCGTCCCGGTAGTACTTGATGGCCAGCAGCACGGCCAGCAGGGCCAGGGCCAGCGCCAGGCGCGGGGGAGCCGCCCCGGGCCCCGGCCCCGCCATCGCGCCGGGCCCGCGCCGCGGAGCCGCCATGGCCGGGGGCGGCGCCAGGCGGGCGAGGAGGGGCCGCGGAAAAACCCGCTAACATTTTCGGTGTTAAATCACCCCAGAGAAAAGATCTTTGTGAGGTTAAATCACCGCCAGGGAAAGGATCTCTGTGGGGTTAAATCACCCTCAGAGAAAGGATCTCTGTGGGGTTAAATCACCGCCAGAGAAAGGGTCTTTGTGTGTGGGGTTAAATCACCCTCAGAGAAAGGATCTCTGTGGGGTTAAATCACTGCCAGAGAAAGGATCTCTGTGGGGTTAAATCACCCTCAGAGAAAGGATCTCTGTGGGGTTAAATTGCCCCCAGAGAAAGGGTCTTTGTGTGTGGGGTTAAATCACCCTCAGAGAAAGGATCTCTGTGGGGTTAAATCGCCCCCAGAGAAGGATCTCTGTGGAGTTAAATCACCCTCAGAGAAAGGATCTCTGTGGGGTTAAATCACTGCCAGGGAAAGGATCTCTGTGGGGTTAAATCACTGCCAGGGAAAGGATCTTTGTGGGGTTAAATCGCCGCCAGAGAAGGATCTCTGTGGGGTTAAATCACCCCCAGGGAAAAACGTGTTGTGGTGTTAAACGCCTGTCCATCCGTCAGGGAAAATATTGTTTTAAATGATCGGCACGCGCTAAGGAAAAGGTATGTTTTAGTGTTAAAACGCCTGGTTAGGGAAATGGGCGGTACTTGTCTGAGTAAAGCCACGTTTTAATGTTAAGCGAGCGGCAGTCGTTCAGGAAAAAAACATTTTTTGGGCTGAAATGTCTCCGCTGTGAGGGCTCTTGGAGGGGTGAACACCCTCGTCCTCTGAGCTCCAAGGATTTTGTCTTTATTATCCATGGGACAGGGGTAGGTGTCCATGCCCACATTCCCACAGTGGCATTTTGTCCTTAATTCAGCTTTTCCCGGAAAGAGCAATCCCCTGAACTTCTTCTGCACTTCCCCAAACCAGCCGTATCCTGCACTTCTACTTGGTTATAGCTGACCAAAATGGGTATTTTTTAACAAAACCGGTATTGCTGGGTTCACTTGCAGTGATTCCGCTGAGGTTGGAGCCCTAGGGATGGGAATTCGGGGATGGGAATGATTTTGCAGCCCTGGGGTGATGGTTCTCGACCCCAGCCTCCTTTCTCCAGCATTTTGGGTCAATTTTTACAACCGTGCCACATTTTGGGTCATTTCCACCCCAAGCTTTTCCACCTCCCATGTTTTCAGTGTCCCTCCACGGCCGCCCACTGCTGTCAAATTGTCCCTCAGCGGTGGCTGGGCCAAGACACACAAATTAATTCATTTTTAACCCTCCCCACACCTCATCCTCCTGCTCCAGTTTCCCCTTTCAGCTGCAGGGCCAGCAGCACCGAGCGTTTGATCTCTCCGAGGGTAGCAGGAAGCGTCAGCCTTTAATCCTTTCAAGCTCTGCTGCATCCTAAGCCTGCCTAATCGTTTTTGTTTTAGGTTTAAAGAACTCTCAAGATGGAGATGAGCGGGAGGAGGAAGGAGGATGAGGATGGGACCAGGCAGGGGAGCCCAGCAGTGGAACCAGGGAGGATATTTGGGATTCACGCCAGGGTTGTTGCACTGAGGGAGAAAGAAGAAAGTTCCTTCTGCAGCAAACTTCCCTGGAACTCTGCCCCATAAAGAACCCGATCATGGCCTTGGGGTTAGTAGAGCATGGAGATGACTCTGGGAGCAGGGACAGGAGCAGATGTGCTGTAAAACCTGCCAGGCTCCTTGGGCTGGGCAGCGAGGGGGGCAGAGCTGCTGCTTCCCTGGAATAACCCAGCACAGAGTAACGGGATGGGATGGGTTTGGAACAGGACAAACATCCTGGTTTGTCTGGGAAATGAGCAGGAGGGAACCTGGCAGGGTGGTGGCAGAGCTGGGGTGATTCTGTTTGGATGATGAGAGGTGCAGGGGCTCATTTTACACCTGAGCCATTTCCAGTGTCATCAGCCACCTCATAAAGATGAGAAACGGGGGGATTATTTGATAGGAAAGAGAATGAAAGACAAGAGGTGAAATAATTCAGGGTGACTGCTGCTCCTTGAAAGAGAACAAACCCAACCTGGCTCTCCACTGCTGGGTCCTGGGATTACAGCACTCAGGAAGAATGTTAAATATCCACACATCTGCTGTGGGGCCCACCCAGGCACACCTGGATCAAAGGGAATCCTAAAAATAATAACAGGCAAGATTTCCACCCAGCAGGAAAAACTATCCCAGATTTCCCCTTGTTCAGAAGGGAGAAAGTTGGGCTGAAAATAAGGAAAATGGTGAGGAGCTGGCAGCAGCAGGGGTGAAAAACTTGGAGGAACAAGAATCCAGGTCTGGTTTGAAGGGAGAAGAAAACCAGAGGTGATAAAGCTCCACAGCTGTGGAAATCACAGAGTTCATCGCAGAAAAAGCACGGACTGCAAAGGAAATGGGAGTTTGAGGCATTTCAAAGGAAACCCTTCAGCTGCAGAGCAGGAGCCACTTCCTGTGTCTGGCATTCCCAACTCTTCCTTGGCCTTTCCTTCTCAGGAGGAGCCACCCAAACCCAAACCCAGACCCAAATCCAAACCCAAACCCAGACCCAAATCCAAACCCAAACCCAGACCCAAATCCAAACCCAAACCCAGACCCAAACCCAGACCCAAACCCAAACCCAGACCCAAATCCAAACCCAAACCCAGACCCAAACCCAGACCCAAACCCAAACCCAGACCCAAACCCAGACCCAAACCCAGACCCAAACCCAAACCCAGACCCAAACCCAGACCCAAACCCAGACCCAAACCCAGACCCAGACCCAAACCCAGACCCAAACCCAGACCCAAACCCAGACCCAAACCCAGACCCAAACCCAGACCCAGACCCAAACCCAGACCCAAACCCAAACCCAGACCCAAACCCAGACCCAAACCCAGACCCAAACCCAGACCCAGACCCAAACCCAGACCCAAACCCAGACCCAAACCCAGACCCAGACCCAAACCCAGACCCAAACCCAGACCCAAACCCAGACCCAGACCCAAACCCAAACCAGGAGGAGCTGCTGGGACCTTGCTGGCCCTGGGCTGCTGCATCACATCCCAATCAATCAAACAGGGATCACATCAAAACCCACCTGGAAAAATACCCTGCCTGCCAGGCTTTTGGAGCCAATAACCAATTCTGCTGAAAGCCTTCCCAGGGGATTTAATAATGCTGGAAAAATGAAGTGTGGGTCACAAAGAGGTGCATTTGTTTTTCGGGTGGTTTTGTCTTATCTCTGAGCAGGCCAGGCAACAGCAGCCTGTGGTTGTACAAGTGATAGGGAAGAATTTTCACCTCCACCATTGATGCAGCTTTCTGTTATCAGAACTTCATTAACAGGAAATTCTTTCTGATATAAAGGCAGGCCACAAGCTCTGATGGTGAAAATGAAGATGGTACTGACAGCTTCTGAAGTAGAAGTGGAATGTTCCAGGGGAAATGGGCAATAACCCAGGCTGGTGACTCCAAGCAGGAAAAGAAGACCAAAAAGCAACAGGATTGCCACATACCTGAGACTGGAAGGCAGGAAAGCAGCTGCAGGACACACATCTGCCCAGATCCTTTCCATGGGGCATTGGCAGCAAACCTCTGGTTCCGTGTAACTCCATTTACTCACCTGCTCCAAGCCTGGAAAGCAAGGGCTTCCCTCTGGGCAGGAAAATCCCATCTGGCAGGAGGAACCTGGGGTGGGATCCAGCCCTGCTCCCCCAGGCAGGTGCAGGAGATCCAGCCAAGGCTCGGGGAAGGGAGGAGCAGAAGCATTTCAAGGCAGCAGCAGCAGGACAAACATTCCCCTCACCTGCATTGCTGTGGGAGAGAAAAATCCCTGGTGTGGATCAAGGCCAGGCCCTGGAACAAAGCTGATCCTGGGAGTAAATCCTAACTAACTCCTGCTCAACACAGCCAGGCTGAGCTCGATGCCTGTGATTAATCCCTGGGGATTTCAGGGCATCTCTGGGAGCCCAAGCAGAGGAATCTGCAGAGTTGCCTTGGCACCACAGAAATGTTCCAGCTTGCAACCAAAACCTTCTGCTGTGCCTGGTGTGGGGCTCCTGGCGCAGAGTTATGGGTGAGCTCTGCCTCTTCAGGGCAGCTCAAACCCCTCCTGGCTCGTGCTGTGGCCACCGAGCTGCAGGAAACTTCCTCTGGGAGGGTGTGGGCTGCTCCCACTCGCCCGTGTGAAATGGAAACCAGCCCTGGATCTGTTCCTAAAGGAAACCTGAACCACACTGCTTGTTCTGGGGGTTTAATTCTGCCAGGCAGAGTGGGAGCTCCATGTCACTCCAAGAGCAGGTCATTCTTATTTAAGAAATTCCCTTAATCCATTATCAAAATCCTTTGAGCTCCAAGAGCTTCCCGATCCCAAATCTCCGGATAACACAGCTCACTCCCAAGATGTTTATTTACCAATACCCGTTCCTCTAGGCCAGGCTTAGCAGGCAGCAGCTTTATCCCTGGGATAATGCTAAGTCCCCTTCTGACAATCTTATTTCTCTCGGGGAATTACAAAGGCAGGAATTTAGAAACAACATTTTCTGTTTTCACAACTTGCTCAAAGCAACTTTATTTCCCCCCAAGTTGCTCAATGAACCAATTGTCACGGGGATGTCACAAGAATGAACAAAAATGTTCCATCCCCCAGGGCCACAGAGCTTTGCAGTGATCACAGGGAGTGCTGATCCCAGATCCAGCAGTTTAAGAGAGCTGGGAATTGTTGTCAAACACTGCCTAGATTCCCCTAGAAATCAACTTTGATTGCATGAAACTCTTTAAATCCACCAGTATCGTCTCATTCCGAGCATGGAGTGATTGGTCTTTTACAGGATCAAGCCCAACAGGCTTTTTATTTTACAAGACTTTTATTCTGTTTCACAGATCTGACTATTACAGCAGTAAAATTATTACAAGTGACTCATAACATTTAGTTCCAAATAAAAGTAGAAAAACACAA